CCCGGTACCCTGTGGACGGCCAGGAATTGGAATTCTGGCTGACCTCTGCCACCACCCCTCATTTGGTCTCTATAGCTGAGCCAAGAGCCCCAAGGTAACAGATCTCTACTTGACAGGTGGGGAAACTGAGGCTCAGAGAGGTTAAGTCACCTGTCGAAGGTCCCACAGTTAGGAGGTGGTGGGGCTGTGATGCCCCCACATTCTGCAGCCTCCTGTCACCCAAGAACCGGTGAGACAAAGTGGCAAAACAACAGGCGCGGTGGTGAGGAGAGCAGCCCAGGTCTGGGAGTTCCGAGCTCAGGGCCTCTGAGTGCCGAGCCGCTCCCACCCCCTCAAGCAGAAATGACATCACAGGTCAAGCAGCCTTCTCCTCTGAAAGGGCGCTCACAGCCTCTCACCTGTCCTATCTCATTATCTTCCTTGGCTGATAAGGTCTGACCCTAGTTCCCAGTCCTGCTCCAGCAGATCCCCCACCTGCGCTTCCAGGCCTTTGAGGGCCAGGGGAGAGGCATGATGGGGGGGGGGGCACCCCGCCAGGGAAAAGAGGCTTCTTGTCAGGGGTCAGGGGCAGGACCACCTAAGGATGCTCCACGCATGGGCTCAGGGCCACAGGTGGGAAGCAGAGAAAACCAAGGTTGTGGGCAGCTTGCCCTGCGCTGGGCCCGGGAGCTGAGCTGAGTATCTCCGCCTCCATGACATTCTCCCCCCCCCCCAACCCCCCCCCACGCCGCCAACACCATCATGACACACAGGCTGGCAGGCGGGGAAGCCCCGGGCGGGGTGGCAGTTCATGCCTGGCCTAGATCGAAACCCATCCTCAGTGCCCTTGGTTTACATGGCACCCCCGCCCTCCCACCCAGACTGGCCACTTCTACAGAACAGCACCAGCGCTGCCATCCTGGCCCATGTTCCCAGCCAGTCCCCCCACAGCCCGCGAGGCACGGGCTCGTCACCACCCGTCTGTGCCAAGGGCGCACAGCCCGGCTCCGAAGAGCAGCCCTGGTCCCGTTATCTCAACGGCTCCCTCACCAGGTCCCAGTGTGGCTGGGCACCTGCCCAAGGCTTTCTGTGAACCACCGCTGGAATCCTCACTGCCACCCTCCCATGGACTACTGCTACCCACTGTACAGCTGGGGAAACTGAGGCAGTTATTGAAGTGACCCCACCCTGCTGACCACACTCTCCTAGACCCCTGCCCATCGCTTCCTACCACCCTCCAGGCCAGCATCTCCGATCTGCCCACCCCACTCTAACCACCTGGGCGGTGGCGGGGTAGAACATCCTTCCTGCCAGCAGCTTTGGAATTGCAAATGACCGGCCCCTGGGGGATCCCAGAGAGGATGGGGATGACAGCTCTCTGTGCGTACATCCCTGGAGAGGACAAGAAAAGGTGAGTTTTTCTTTCTGTCCCTCTAACTCACACTGGGAGGCGACAGTCACTTCATGGCCGTCTAACTCACACTGGGAGGCGACAGTCACTTCATGGCCGTCTGGGAAGCTCTCGGTTTCCCTCAAGAGGGGCAGGCAGGGCTCCTCCTCCTGGCCCGTGTCCTGCGAGCTGCCTCCCTGGCAGCCTCGCCGCCGGTCACCAGGCCAGGTCAGCCTGCACTCTGGGAGGGCGCTGACGTCCCGCCAGCCCTCCCCCAGCCTGGCTCAGCAGGACGGGAAAGTGGGAGCAGACGCGTGAGCTCACGCTGGAAATCCCCAAGGGTGGCCAGGACAACACGGAGGCCTGCTCCAAAGTGGGTGGCCCAGGGAGCCTCGGGGCTGTGCAGGGAGGAGAGGCAGCCGGGAGAGGACATCTCCCCTGATATTTGGGGGTGAGGCGGCCTCATGTCCCCACTGCTCACCCCGACCCAGAGGGAAGCGCCGGGTCACTTGGAAGTGAGCAGGTCCATGCACGCTCAGACACACCCCACTTCTTCCTGCTCCGTCTGGAGTCTAGTCTGAGGCTGAGTTTACACAGCAGGTGGACAGGAGCCCTGCGGAGCGGTCACGGCGGTGCCCGGGCTCTGACCACAGTTAAAGCACCGCTACTGGCCCAGAGCCAGACTCGGACCCGGGGCCTCTGCAAGGGATTTGGGGGTGATCTGTCCCTCCTCTTAAAGCAGTGGTTGTCAACCTTCTGGCCCTTTAAATACAGTTCCTCAGGTTGTGACCCAACCATAAAATTATTATCGTTGCTACTTCATAACTGTAATGTTGCTACTGTTATGAATTGTCATAACAGTCTGATATGCAGGATGGTCTTAGGCGACCCCTGTGAAAGGGTCATTCGACCGCCAAAAGGGTCGCGACCCACAGGTTGAGAACCGCTGTCTTAGAGGAAGAGAGTCCAGTCCCATCCTGGGCAGAGTGTGTAAAACGCCAGGCAGAGCTGCAGCTCAGAAATGAGTCACCAGGTGGTCCGTTTACAGGCCTGCGGCACAGGAGTTAGGACCGGGCCTGGGAAAGGGCGGCCAGGTTCAAGGCTGCGCTCCACCGCTTGCTTCCCGAACAGCTTGGTGCAGGTCTGAGTGCTGCCTGAGCCTCGAGAGGCACAGGACAGATGGGGCCACTACTGCCGTGTCTTCGTTTTACTAAAAAGATTGGAGTCTCACTCCAGCCTTTTAAAGTTAAAAGACCATAAATAAATAAATAAATAAAGTTAACAGACCAAAAACAACCACCACCACCACAATAAAAAAAAACAAACTCGCCCTAACCGGTTTGGCTCAGCAGATGGAGCATCGGCCTGTGGACTCAAGGGTCCCAGGTTTGATTCCGGTCAAGGGCATGTACCTTGGCTGCGGGCACATCCCCAGTGGGGGGCGTGCAAGAGGCAGCTGATCGATGTTTCTCTCTCATTGATGTTTCTAACTCTCTATCCCTCTCCCCTCCTCTCTGTAAAAAAATCAATAAATTAAAAAAAAAAAAAAAAAAAAACTCCACCAAAAACGCAGAAATCAAACCAGAAACTGCCACCTGCCCCCTCGCCCTACAGGGCTCCAGGGTCCAGGATCCCTGGCCTCTACCCACTAGATGTCCAAGATGAACGAGACACGAGGCCATGGATACTGCCAGGAACTGGGAGGAGGGCAGCGAGGGCAGTGGGTGGCGTGGCCTGGCACCTGGGCATGGGCGGCTGCTTCATCCCATCCTGCCCTGGGAATGCCCCCTGCCCCGACCCCTGGAGCACATTCCTGGAGCCCAACTCAAACAACTCAGTCATCCCTGCCGGGCAGCCCCCTGCCTGTGGCTGATGGCCACCATCTCTCACTGTGGCTCCGCTGCCACCACGAATGGGGAGGGCCTTGCTCTCCTGGCCCGGCCTCTGGTCTAACCACAGTGGAACCTTTTCTGCTGGAGGGAAGCAGACTGGGGAGCCTCGAGCAATCAGGAGCCTTGATATACCCCTTGGGTGTTACTTTCCCGGCATAAATACTGGGAGAGTTAGGTGTGAGTTCAGAAGGGAAAATGCCAGCAGGTCAATGGCATCAGGCGTCCATGCCCGCGTCAGCAACTCAGCTTCGGGCAAAATCTGCAAACAGAGCTCATACCCGGGGCATGGGAGCTCCTGTGTGGGGGAGGCTGCCCTAGGGGTGACGTCCTTCAGGCCCGCTCCCTGCCCCTGGTCTCAGCTCCTCCCAACAGCACCCAGACCTACTTCCTGCAGGGCCCATGGTTTGAGCAGGAAGAGGCAGGCTTCTGGCACCAAAGGCAGCCTCCTGCGAGGGGAATAACTGCCCTCCTTACCTCGCATCTCATTTAGGTTTATTCCAAGTTCTTCCCCAAACCTCCCGGGAAACCGAGGCAGGGAGGGGAAGACAATGAGAAGTACAGGCATACCTCCAAGTACTGCAGGTTGGGTCCCAGAACACTGCACTGAAGCCAGCTGTGATCTTTTCACTGGTGGAGGGTCTTGGCTTCAATTTGTAAAAAAACACACCTCTTTGGGGCGAAATAAAACGAGGCATGCCTGTTACTGGATGGACCAGGTGCTGCGGGAGGATTTCTCAACCCCGCACAGCACTGGGCCGTTTTGAGTCACATGATTCTTTGTCGCGGGGCCTGTGGGATGTCCAGCTGCATCCCTGGCCTCTACCCACTAGATGTCCAAGAGCAACAACACTCACCCCCTTCCCCTGAGCTGTGACGACCACGGCGTTTTTGAGAAATTGCCCAATATCCCCCGGCTGGTAAAATGGCTGAGAGCCACAGCTTCACTTTCCACTTCTCCCCCTGTCCTACCCAGAGAGTGACAGAAACATAACACAGACGCTGGGCTCACTTTTACCAGCAAATGTCACACACGGGGCCACCTGGGAAACAGCAGGCAGTGCAGGGCGGGGTCAGTCCCGCAAGCCTCACCCTTCCCACACTCCAACCACACCTGCTCCGTAGTCTTTCACGCAGGTTAGGCAGGGGCTGAGGCCGGGGCGCCCCTCCGCCCTGGGGTGGGGCACATTTGCCCCCGAGGGGACTTATCCCTCTCTAATCTAACCCTAAAAGAGGGCACCAACCTTTGCAAGGCCCTCAGTCCAGAAGTCAAGACCCCGGTGCCCATTTTCTGAGCTCCAGTCCAGCCTGGCAGAGCACGCCCACCCTCCCACACCTGCTTCCACCTCGGCGCCGGCTGCTCGCCCCAGAGGGAGGGGCGGGGAGGATCTGGGTCGAAGGCGCGAGTGCGCGGTGCTGCCCCGGGGCGGTCCCTTCCCTCCCACCAGGGGCTTTAAACTTCTGCCCCCGCATCGGGGGACCCTTGGCCCAGGGATCCCTAAGGCGTCGAGTCCGAGCTGAGCCCCAGGGGCTCGCAGACCTGGTCCCGCAGCCCCGTCCGAGTCCAGCCCCGACCTCTGGCGCCCGGCTTGGCCCACGTGGGGCCCGAGAGCTCCGCAGGGCGGGCACCCTCGCCAGCCGCGCACCGCCGCCCCAGGGCGGGCTCGGGCGCGACACCGCGGACCCTTCCGGCGCCTGAGGTCCTGCGGCCGAGCCCGGTCCCACCTGTCGCGCGTGCTCACCTCCCTGCGGCCCCGCTGGTACGGACGCAGCCCCGCGCGGCACAGCAGAGCAGCTGGGCCGCGGCTTCTGGGGGCGGGGCCCCGGCGCCCCGCCTCTTCCCTACCTGCGCGGGGAGGTGGGCGGGGACTAGGGCGGGGCCTGGCCATGGGGGCGGGGCCTGAGTCGTGGGGAGCCCTGGGGCGGGGCCTGGCCGTGGGTGGGGCCATGGGACGGGACGTAGCTGTGGGGGCGGGGCCCCGCCTGCCCTCGCCACCCCGCGGTGTCCCCTGCGGCTCGGTGCCCCGGCGCCAGCCCCACTGAGCTCGGCCCAGCGGGGTCCCGGCCCGGCGTCTCCCGGGCGTCGTCCTCCCCTCATAATCGTATAAAGCGCATCATCTCGGTCTGAACTGCCACCTTCACGTCGCGCCCAGGAAAACCCCCTCCCATAACAGCCGCCTCCCGTCTCCCCTCCGTCCAGCGCCCCATTCCCAAGCCAAATGGGCCTGCTCCCCGGAACCTCTTAGCCCTCGCCCTTTCCTTGAAACCCCGAATCCTGGTCCCGCCCCCGGACGCTTCTCTGATCTGCAGACAGCGAGCGCGCCCTCCTCCGCATCCTCCGGGCGAAGGCCGGGTCTCGCCCAACTTCTCCCGCCCCCACCCGCCCGGCCCCCAGCCCGGAGCGGCGCTGACGGTCGCGCGCTGAGCGCTGGCCGCGGGGACGACCGCACTGGGTGCTTCGGGGACTGGGGGGGTGGGACGGGGGACCCGGGGTGTCTCTGGAGAGGCAATAGAAATAAGCATTAAGGCAGACAGACCTACGTAAAACCTACGTTGCCGCTGGGCCGAGGACACTGAGCCTCCCCAAGGGGCAGAATCTTGGCTCACACGGCGCCGGCAGTGGACGCAGAGATTTTGGCGGCGGCCTGGGGGGTGGGAGGTGGGGGTCCCTCAGAGCCACTTCTTAATTTGCAAAGGAGCGAAGCCTGCCCGGCCTTCTCATGTGTGGGCCATGGGGTGCCGTGAAAAGCACCTGTGAAACTGTGTTGTTAATGGGGTTCTTCCCAGAGGCCCCGAGTTCAGATCCCGCCCCTGCCACTTGCCACCTGGGTGGCCTCCCTTCCTGCTCGGGGAACTGAGGGTAACAACAGGCCTGGCCTCTTGGAGGCGGCCCCGAAGGGCACCGGCTCCAGCATCACTGGAGCGGCTGCTGCGGTTACTATTGCTGTTGTTACTGTCATCACCTGCGGCCTGCCGGCTCTCCGCCTGGGAAACCCGGCTCCTGACCTTCCTCTGCCGCAAGCGTCTCCCCCAGCCCAGCTGCTCCCTGCGGGAGGGGGGCCTGCGGGGGCACTGCTCTCCCCCCCCCCCCCCCCCACCGCATCAGTCCAGCAGCCAGGGCCCAGAGGCAGGAACCGGACCTGACCAACTCCCTGCAGCTGGCTGGGTGCGAGCAGAAGGAGGTAGGGGTGCATGGTGCGGGCTGACCCCCACTCGCCCCAGGTCACCCTTGGCCTGGGTCGGGGAACACCTAGTCTAGCCTCCCCCTCCTGGCTAGACAAACAACCATGAAGGTGCGTGTGGAGGGGGGCACAGCGGGTGGGGCTGGGACAACTCCAAGGCCCGTATGCCCCTCTCCCAGCCCTGGCCGGGCTGCATCACTTCGCCCTTCCCTGAAAAAGCAGAGTTTAAAGAAAGACTGGGCCCTAGCCGGTTTGGCTCAGTGGATAGAGAGTCCGGGTTGGGTCACTAAAGGATCCCAGGTTAGGTTCCGGCCAAGGGCACATGCACGGGCTCAATCCCCCCAGTAGGGGGCGTGCAGGAGGCAGCCGGTCAAGGATTCTCTCTCATCATTGGTGTTTCTATCTCTCTCCCTTCCTCTCTGAAATCAATATAAAATATACATTTTAAAAATAAGAAAAAAAGAATATTTTTTAATATATTTTATTGATTTCTTACAGAGAGGAAGGGAGAGAGATAGAGAGCCAGAAACATCGATGAGAGAGAAACATCCATCAGCTGCCTCCTGCATATCTCCCACTGGGGATATGCCCGCAACCCAGGTACATGCCCTTGACCGGAACCGAACCCGGGACCCTCCAGTCCGCAGGCCGACGCTCTATCCACTGAGCCAAACCGGCTTCGGCGAAAAAAAGAATATTTAAAAAAAAGAAAAGAAAAGAAAAATTGGGCCTGCGAGTAGGAGGAAGGTGGAGGAAGGGGAGGAGGGGGGAGGGGTCTGGAGCTGCGGAGACTATTGGTCTCAGGGGCTGCCAAATCCTTCTCGGGTGGGAGGTTAATAATTGGAAAGGGGGGGCTCCTGACTGTGGGGACAGTCCAGAGAAAGGCGCTTCTCCTGCTGCCCACCCCCCAGGCCTTGGGGAGGGCATACCCTGGGGGGTGGGCCAGAGAAAATGCAGGGCCCTGGGGTGCCATGGGGCGCAGGGAAGACCAAGACCAGGGCCTGCGTGCAAAGCGCTGGCTCTCTATGGGGAGATGGAAGCACACAGCCCTGGGCCCTTCCCGGATCTGAGCGCTGTGATGTGCCATCTCGTTTCATCCTCGGTCGGCTGCAGTGTCAGCGTCCCCGCTTCAGGGAAGGGAGCTGAGGGACCCAGTCCCTGGCTGACTTTAGCCTCCAGCACATGCGCCAGACACCTGAGCTGCGGTCCCCCGGGCGCCCCGGGAGGGGAGGGATTCGAGCTGGCGGTCCATGTCAGGGCTTTTCCCCACAGACACGTGGCACCCTTGGCTGCAACGAGGAGCACCTGTCCAGCCGGCAGGGAAGGGTGTTAAATGCACCAGGGGTGTAATTTGCGGTGATGACTCCCAGCGGTTAAAAGCAGGGCGGCCCCGCTCTCTGTGCTGCGTGGAACACGTCCAAGAGGCATGAAGTGAAGAGACCCAGGTGTGTGTTCCGTGTAGTTCCATTGACCTACGTTTAAAGGAACATGCGAATGTGTGCGGGCAGAGCCACCAAGACTCTCTGGAAGTGTATTTGTGGAGTAACCTGCGTGGAGGGGGGTGTGGGGTTGAGAGGAGGGAGACAGAGCCTTGCCTTTTATTCCACAAAATGTGTATGTGGCCCTGACCGGTGTGGCTCAGTGGATAGAGCGTCGGCCTGCAGACTCAAGGGTCCCAGGTTCGATTCCGGTCAAGGGCATGTACCTGGGTTGCAGACACAACCCCGATGGGAGTGTGCAGGAGGCAGCTGGTCGATGTTTCTCTCTCATCAATGTTTCTAACTCTCTATCCCTCTCCCTTCCTCTCTGTAAAAAATCAATAACATATATTTTAAAAAATGTGTGTGTTACTTTAATAACTTAGAGGAGGCAAAGGACCTAAATAGACACCTTTCAAAAGAGGACATTCAGAAAGCCAAGAGACATATGAAAACATGCTCAAAGTCACTAATCATCCGAGAAATGCAAATCAAAACAACAATGAGGTACCATCTCACACCTGTCAGACTGGCTATCATCAACAAATCAACAAACGACAAGTGCTGGAGAGGATGTGGAGAAAAAGGAACCCTTGTGCACTGCTGGTGGGAATGCAGACTGGTGCAGCCACTATGGAAGACAGTATGGAGTTTCCTTAAAAAACTGAAAATGGAACTCCCATTTGACCCTGTGATCCCACTTCTAGGAATATATCCCAAGAAACCAGAAACACCAATCAGAAAGGATATATGCACCCCTATGTTCATAGCAGCACAATTCACCATAGCTAAGATCTGGAAACAGCCTAAGTGCCCATCAGTAGATGAATGGATTAGAAAACTGTGGTACATCTACACGATGGAATACTACGCTGCTCTAAAAAGGAAGGAACTCTTACCATTTGCAACGTCATGGATGGAACTGGAGAGCATTATGCTAAGTGAAATAAGCCAGTCAATGAAGGAAAAATACCACATGATCTCACTCATTCATGGATAATAGAGACCATTATAAACTTGAACAATAATAGATACAGAGGCAGAGCTGCCTCAAACAGATTGTCAAACTGCAGCAGGAAGGCCGGGGAGGGTTGCGGGGCAGGAGGTAGGGGGGTAAGAGATCAACCAAAGGACTTGTATGCATGCATATAAGCATAACCAGTGGACATAAGACATTGGGGGATAGGGGAGGCTAGGGGACTGTCTAGGGCGGGGGGATAAAATGGACACATATGTAATACCCTTTGTAATACTTTAAGCAATAAAAATTAAAAAAAAAAATAACTTAGAGGAAAACATAGTCTAAACTTTCGTGTTTTTTTTTAATGTATCTTTATTGATTTCAGAGGGGAAGGGAGAGGGAGAGAGAGAGACATCAATGCTGAGACAATCATTGATCCGGCTGCCTCCTGCACGCCCCCTACTGGGGATTGAGCCTGCAACCCCACCCAGCACGTGCCCTTGACTGGAATCAAGGGCTGAACAGGCCTGAAGGTGTAGGGAGGATCTTGACAGGTGGGGCTGACAAGGGGGTTGCAGGCGTGATGAAAAGAGCAGACACAGGAACAAGGAAGCGCTGGTGATGGGAGGGCAAGTTCTGGGCCCGGGTTTGGCAGCATCACAGGATGTGCTTGGGGAGGGTGGCGGCGACAAGCCTGGGAGGCAGGTGGCCTGTGCTGGAGGCTTCAGCTGAGCTAGCCTTTAAGGCAGCGGTTCTCAGCCTGGGCTGCCCATGAGAACCACCTGGGAATCCTTTTAAAATCCTGATTTCTGGGCCTCATCCTCCGGACATTCTGTTTCTTTGTTACTTATGTTGTGGCCCCACCCCATCACAAAGAAACAGAATTTCCGGAGGATGAGGCCCAGAAATCAGGATTTTAAAAGGATTCCCAGGTGATTCTAATGCGCAGCCAAGGTTGAGAACCACTGCTTTAATGTATTTCTGTTTTATCCAGTAAACAATGGGGAGTTTTCCGGCCGGGAAATCGCACCAATATTTTCCGCTTGTGCTGCCCGCTTTGAAAAGGGCCTCCTCAGACCTGATTACACATTTTAATCTTGATCGCAATTGCCAGGTAGGCAGGGCGGGCCTCGCAGAGGAGGGAACGGGAGGCTGTGGACCAAAGACCAGACCCTTGGAGTTTTAACACGAGAAGCCTTCGTCCTTTGTCCGCACTGCTCTG